TTTTTCTTGCAGTTCTTATAGTTCTTTTGTGCTCTCAGCTCTCTTGAACAACGATAAAGTGACCCACCACCAGGTTGCACGCTTTTATGTCTCGGCCGTGTGCTCAGACCGGCACTCCTGGTGTGCGCCGGGGAGAAAATTCCCCTCAGTCTGCAAGGAGGGAGAGGAAGATGAAGGAGGACGGGGGGGGGGGGTTGAACGGGGAGGACATAAGGACAGTAAGAGAGAGTGGAGGAGACGGTGACAGGGAGAGGAGAGAATGGCAGGGAGGAGAGGGGAGGAGAGGGGAGGAGAGAGGAGGCGTGTGCTGTGAACAGGTGAACATGGTGTGGGCGGAGGCACAAAGCAGAGCGACTACCTGCCAAATACATTATGCACATGTAGTGTTTCCATACAAGAGCGGCTTTGGCCTCCCCTAGGGTATTGTCTCGGATCTACAAGCAGAGAGAGACAAAGAGCATAAGCGTGTCTATCTTCCTCTGTGTGTGTTTGTGTGTGTGGAGAACCTGGTGGTGGGCAGTCACGGCTGCTTGCCCGCTCTGTTTTAGCCGCTGCGCTAGCCGCTCTGTTGGACAGCATGTTCTCTGCTGTGTTCGAGTCCAGAGAAGAGCAGCCGAGCAGAATGACACCAGCATCAGCAGCCTGCCAAACACCGCTGTGGATGGCAGGACACACTGAAATATACAGAACACACACACACTCAAAGGAACTCAGAGAAACTCGCACAGGAACACAGAGGCAGACAGACAGACTTATCTAAGCTACACTCACAGCCACTTGAGCCGGTGGTTTGAAAGAATACTGATGATTTGTACATCAAGTAATGAACCAGTTACCTTGAATTTGTGTTGAACCTGTGAATACTGCGTTTATCTTGCAATCTAGTACTGAGCATATGACGGATCATAAATACTGCTTCCGTTTGGTGATTTAATATCATTTAGCTGTTGTTAGAAACTGCCCCAAATTACTGTAATTCATCAAGAATGATCTACATTTTTGGGATGTTTTGCTGCCTTGGGGAGCGACAGAAAAACAAGGTATTCTCAAAGGACTCTACACATATTGAGAAATTAATATTTAAATCATAATTTTCCTCCATAGCCAACTAAGCCAAGGCAAAGCACAAAGACACATTGATATGCCTATGATTGGAGAAGGCCATTAACAGAACTGATCTTTGAATCAGATTGATGTGTGTTTTTAGTGCTATCTGAAGGTTATACAGTCATTTCAACACATAGATTCACATTTCTGGCCATGCTGTTTGCATGAAGTATGTTCAGAAACTCGCCGAAGCTCTGGGCTGCTCCGAGGTGATGAAAAATTGAAGACCATGAGTTTCCTTGACAGTGTTTTTCACCCTGAGAGTGCTGCATGCTGGGAACGCTGTTAAATATTTTGTTGATGAATACAAAATGCATGGGGAGAAGAACCCCAGACAAGTTGATTGGCAAAATTAGCTTAGCGCTGTTGAAATAAAAATGGTATACTTTATTTTACCCATTGACAACTTCACACCGACACCGACACACTTCAAGGGATAGTTTGGATGTTTTGAAGTGGGGTTTTATGAGAAACCACTCCATAGTCAGTGTATGACCAACAGCAGATGGTGGTCCGCACGCCCCTGTTTGCAGGCAGGTGTAGCTGCACAGGAGCAAAACAGTGGATTGCTGTGAAGGATGGCGTCAGCAAAACATATCTTAGTCACCTGAAACTGTTACAAAGGCTCTGTTCAAAGCCACAAGAATCCATTGACAAAAACTGTAAATTATCCTCGCGGAACATGCGAGATGCTTGCTTCCACTGCCCCAATAGAACGTTTTGGTTTGTCTTCGGTGATTTAAGAGTTAGTTCAGATTCACTAACGTATGCCAATAACTCCCAAGTTGTGCTGTAAAATCACAATTTCTGTTAATGTAGTCTGGTGGCTTGGAAAAGAGCTTAAAGTGGATATGTGGCTTCAGTTTCTGGTCAGAAAAGGTGCTGAAAATATATTTAATATAGCATACATTTAAACTGAAACCTATTTTTAGAGGTGGGCCTCCTTTTGGATGGATACTACTGTCTGCGTGTGGGGGGGGGTGAACACCTCCTTCTTATACCGACACTAGATAGGTACCTCATACAACCTTAAAGCATCCAAACTGTCCCTTTAACACGTTAACATTCATAGTGGGCGGATGAATGGATATGACTAATATCTGGCAGTAAATATTAACGTTCTTGTGTTTGATTTTATCATCTGAGGATTGATGAAGAAGAACATATTTTATTTCCTTTTATAAATGCATATCGAAGACATACAAAGTGCCAGTTTAAAAATAACTTTACCTAGTGCATGTGGAGAGATAATGCAGTGAATGTAGACAGCTGTTGCACATAGCCAGAGGCCAGACCTGCACTCAGCCTCTCCCCTGTCTCTTCTATTCAGCCCTGCTCCAAATGAGCTGACCAGGTGATGGAGTTCAGTTCAGTGGCAGGATGGATAGAACCTGCAGTAAAATATGTTTTTCTCTCTAAATTAATGAAGGACTTTGAAGTTTACTGACCTTCAGGGCCGTCAACCTACAGGCTCGTCTTCGTTTATTCATTTCAAGTTAAATTATTCGTACAAAAGCAGGCCGTGGTTTGCCAAGCGTAACATGACAAACTGAATTACACGCACCGGAGAGCAATTACAACAAATAAGCACAGATTAGTTATCAACAGTGTTCATTCCCCGCGTCTGTTTCCATTATGATGTGACAGCAATAAATAATCTGCACACATTACTCTTGTCTTGAATCTAAGGATTTTTCTTTTGTTTTTGAGATCTTAAAAAAAAAGTTTAATTATTTAGTAATGTACCTTTATCTTTTCTCTGCGAGTGATTCTCCCACATTCCCCTTTTATCCTACCATCTAATGTCTCTCTCACACACACACACACACACACACACACACACACACACACACACACACACACACACACACACACACACACACATATGCGTAGTTTCTCCATCAGTCTTTCGTCCCCCATTCTGCCGCTCTCCTCTCCATGTAACTGCATGGCGGATCAGATCCCACCACCTGATTTGAATATGCTTTGTGAACAGGATTTTGAATGAACTGCAAAGCATGTATGAATATTTTCAAACTGTGAAGTGTAAGGAATCAGGATCATGGTCCGACACCCCTTTCGGCTGTACACCAGTAGGCGGTGAATAGTAAACTGAGAGGTGGCCCGGTGCCCTAACATAAAATCAAATACATTCCTAACAAAGCTGCACATGTGTGTTCCCATGCCAACTGGCAGCAGCTCAATACACAGGGCAACACACCGACCCTCGGAGACCTCGCTGGTTTTATTGTAGAATTAACATCCATATTAATATATGCACCAGCTGAGGATAGACACTCTCGAACAAGTTGTTGTTTGAATTCACTCCTACGCGTTTTCACACACAGTCAGTGACACACGCACACAAACACACTCTCGCACGCGTTCATAAACAGCGCTTTGCAGTGCGCGTGTCCTTAAGCCTCGCTTCTCCAGCTGCACCACAAGAGACCTGTCTAAGTGACAACAATTAGCCTTCTCAGTTCAAGCTAATTGAAGTCATTTACATAATACATGCCTGCCATCACAATTCATCTGCGGACAATTCATGCAGGCCTGTGTCACATTGTCAAAACCTGATGTTAGATCCCCTCCGTCCTGACAAATGATCCCCAAAGCAAGGCCATCATTTTACACACAACTCTCATCAATCACATACGTATTGTTCTCCAATGGGCTGTATTTTTTTAATGACAATATGGATTGCATCTGCCAACGCAGGCAGACACACACATTGTCAAAACTGTGTTTACCAACCTTCCCATTACGAGTGCAATTACTCAGAGGTTGAAAACAAGCTGGCGTGTTTGCGTGACGCTAAGTCTCGACGGCTGAAGAGATCGCAGGCTTTATTAGCCGGTTGTTTGCGAGGTGCTTTTGTCAGGAAGCTGGGCAATAAATTAAATAGATGGCTTGATAAAAAGCTTGCTGTGCAGAACTCTTCATGCTGGATTTTTTGAAAAATCACACTGCCATAGCTCATAACAGGCGATCTGTTCCCTGTTTGATTTATGAAATCAATTTGTCTTGTTATCAGCAGCCAGAGTTTGGGAGACAAAATCAAAGCAATGCGGTTCAAATTTATAAGATGTGTTTGTGTTAGGATAAAAGACATGTTGAAAACAACAGATCAGTCATTCTCATCGTTGCATCATGCTGTGAATCATGGGATAATGGCACTCTGACTGTTGGTTACATTTGGCAAGGGAAAGAAAGCTTTTACGAAATAGTTGTGTCTAACTTTGTTGGTTTCTTCTGTTTTTGGTGTAATAATGGTATATTCATGTCAGCTGTCACTGGAGAATATGCTTGGATGCACTCAACACCATATCTTTTAGACCTAAACATGCTTCACTACTGCTCACACACACACAAACGCTACATTACTCTTACAGGAATTAGTTTGTGTGTGTCTTCCAACACGTGAGTCCTCACAGCTCCCTCTCTCTTGTCTCAGTCAGCCTCCAAATGTCATTCAAGTCTTTGCTTCATGAGTCTGGCAGCAAAGCATGGAGCCCAGGCGGCCCAGTCAGCCTAATGTGCTTTAGACCTTCCCTTCATGCTTTCCCTGGAGAAGCTGAAGGAAATGCTGTTCTGACATCGCAATCCGTCTAGTTTGGGAAAAAAGAATGATGTGAAAAGAATTAGGTTTCCCCCCGTGTACTCCGGTTCAGAAACAGATAAGCAGTTTGTTTTGCCAAAGACGTCAAAGCGGGGAATCAAAAGCGACAGTGGATGGGATGAGATATTTCAAGATACGTCTTGATGGATGCAGGTTAATCTCAAACCTGCCAGATGTGTCAGGGATTTGCCGACACCTCGCCGAGTAAATCTTACTGTGCTGCTATTTACTTCTGAACCGCCCTGACTTCCCTTTCTGTTTGTCTCTGCAGTGAAGTTCGAGGATTGCCAGCGCAGCAGGGAGGTGGGCTTCATCAGCAGTGACCCCAACTTCGGCGTGAGGCCCGATGGGTCGGTGTACGCAGAGCAGGAGCTGGGGAACCTGTCGGAGCCCGTGGAGTTCATGGTGACGGCCCGGGCGCTCCATGACCCGCACATCTGGGAGACCACCGTGAAGATGGCCCTGGCTGGACATCCTCATCCTTTAGCCCTCACCAAGGTAACACATTCAGGAATACACAAACGCACACACAAGCAACTGGAAGGGCAAGAATAGCTTCCTATGGATGACACTGACAATTGAATCACCTTATTGACTGGTTGATTATTACTAAAACACATTTAGTGGTGTAAATCTACTCAAGTACCATACTTAAGTATTATATTTTACATAATTCCGCTTTACTTGAGTATTTCCATTCTCTGCTACTTTATACTTCTACTCCACTACATTTCAGAGGCAAATATTGTGTTTTCTACAAGACTACACTTAGTTCTCACACAAGATACCAGTTCAATATTAAACAAAGAATATGCTTACATGATTTGATGCAGAACTTTACTACAAATCAACTTTGTTAAGTCTCTAGAATTAGCTTCATGTTCACAACATAAAAATGGTCTTTCATGTTTTTGATAGTGATAAAAGCAGGATAATTTATAACCATCCTGATAAAATACTGTACAAAGAATAATTATGCATGGATCTGTTAAATGTAATACAAACAAATCCCTCCCTGAGGCACATGAGAAAAATTTTCTGTATATCATCAAGACAGCGGATACCCTCCTCTCGAGAAGTGATCTAGCTGACCACGTCACATCAATTTGAGGAGAAATGTATTCACATCTGATTTAATATTTTAACAAGTACCTTGTGAAAATAAGGTGTAGAGGTTATTGCTTCAATCTGTCATTTCCAATTAAATAATCACACAGTATTGAAACTGTTCCCTGCCTAATCAACCATCAAAGGTTTTGTTTACAAATCCTTGTTTTTGATCCTCTCACCTTTAGCTACTTGCAGGTGTTGGAAGCGTAACCTAATTATAATTGATTAACATATTCCAAAAGGATTTAGCTTGGGAAATAGGATTTGAAACTGGATTTGGATTCAGTAAGAAATGCTATTAAACCCTGATGCTAAAGTTAGTTATCTCCTGATTAGATATGCTTCATTGTTTGTTCTAGAACGTGTAAAGAAGCGTCCTAAATGAATCTGATCAGGAGCATTAACGCTGCTTATTTCTCAGGATTTTCACAACACTTCTTCGTACGTGACAATTCAAGACATGGCTCCATTTGCTGCCGAGGCCCTGCTAGCTAACAGAGACTGTAAAACCACACAGGGTAGTGAATGTACTGTACAGCCGCTGTTACAACCGAGCTGCACTTTGTTAGAGCGAGTCACCCATTATCATTTTTCCTCCACTACTTGTTGCACGCCATTGGGCTTAATGTTCAGTCATGTTTCTAATCATGACAAAAAGCCTGAAACTCATGTAGCTAAAGCAATTGCAGAGTAGGGATTAACATTCTGCCCACTCCTGGTAGTGCAATAATGGAGACTGGGAAATAATTGACATTGATTGAGCTAATGTTCCACTCTGCCGGAGTCTGCGAGGACCAGGTGATGTAGTTTCGCTGTATAATAATGTTCCCCACATCATGGAGCCGGAGAAATATTCAATAACTAAACAAGAAATAAATGTGTTTCCTCTAATCACATGGAAATTTGAAAACAAGCTTTTACACGTACAGTACATTACGTGTTTCTGCCTGAATGCTGTTTACATGCGTCCCTGTCACAACACACTACTCTTGTTTTCCTCGGATGGTATAAATAATTGGTACTGCGTCAAGTCAAATATAGTTTCAATCTGTGGGTACGCCCTGAGGAGGGATGAAATGAATTCCTGTTTCATTAAGAACAAAGTCATTAAAACATTTAATTATTAAAATGAAATGTGTGCTGCAGGATCATTTGATACAGGGACCGGGTTGAACCAAAAAGCACTTTGGTTGGTCTTTGAGTTTGATTATTCATTCGTTTATACAGTCCAATACTTCCTTTTCTGATGGACCTGGATCATCAAAACTGTATGACTTTTAAGCAATTGAGTGAAATTGAGTGACAACCTCCACAAGACTGGAAATTCCCCCTTTAAAACAGTTTGTCCTAAGTTATACTAGTTATGACTTGAGTGGGAAGGATGTCATTTCTAAGTGATCGTAGTTTAGCGGCAGACCCTTTTCCTCCGACTGACTCTATTTTTATTATATTATATTATTATTTATTATATTTTGAACGCTGCTTAACATTTAGTGAGATGTACCGAACATTTCGTTTGACATTGATAACAATGGGAAAGTCATTTCATACAGAGCAGAGTGGTTTAATCTGTAACCTGGTATAATGTCTGACAGCCTTTCAGAAAAGGCTCTCACTCACAAGGACATGTTGTTTCAGCCCATGTGGACTTCCTGTGTCCTGCTGACCTCTTGTCCTGCTTCTTCAGTTTTGCAGTTAGTTCGATTGAGATGAAAAACACTAATCGTTAGCAGAAACACAGAATAGGGTCATCAATATGTTCCTATGTCGATATGTTCCCATAGGCCTATGCAAACAGGTTTTTCTACACCGTGCACTTTCAATGTTTGGATTTAAAACAGGAGACACACAAACACAGTGAGTTGAACCTTGTTCAAATGAACCATTCCTGAGCTACACCCTCTCAAAGTTGCTCCCTAGTTTTGAGTTTGTGTCTCTTCATATAAACTAACATTATAAGATATTCACAAGGGCTGTGTTGGCTATTCAAATAGAAAAAGTAAGAGTCTCACATTTCAAATGCAGTTTGAATAGTACAAATCCATTCAACCAATATCTAATTTCATTTAATTTCAAACCTTTATTTATACAGATAAATCCCATTGAGATCATTGATCTCTTTTTCAAGGGAGACCTGCTCAAGTAGTTCCACATGAAACATAAAAACATGAATAGAACAACCAAAGGACATCATACATCATTTACATAATTATCCACATAAACAGGTACCAATAGCTTCCGATTGAGTAGCATCCAACCAAGCTTTAAAAACATTTAGTGGCACCAGATTGTTCAGTTTCCATTTCAATTGCAGACTATTCCAAGACAGAGGAGCTGCGCATCTAAAAGCTGTCTTCCCTAAGACAGTCCTAGCAGTTGGCACATTTAATCAAACCACAGCATTCGATCTCAGGCAGTAGCCACTTACAATTTTCCGTGAGATCAGGGAGCAGATATAAGATGGAAGTTTCCCTAACATGGCTTTGTATATACAAATGTACCAGTGACTGAGCCTCCGTACAGTTAGAATAATATCAATGTATAAAGTCAATACAAATTCTCATGCCTGCCAATATGAATCTGTAAATCAATGAGTGCGCCATCAGTAGGCTACAAGCTGAAGGTGATTTCAAGTTAATGATCCAGGGAAGCATATATTGAACATTTGACCTTTGGAAAAACTTTGATAATTTGATATTAAGATCTTCTTAATATGTTACAGCGATAGTGAGCTGGGGTGCATACTTACTTGGGAACAGCGACAAGAAGAATATGTATCACAGCAGTTCCTGGAGTGAAATATTAACATCAGCTAAACTTCTCACAAAGACTATGCTAAAGTTCAATGTTTACCATATTTAGTTAGTTAACCTAGTTAGCATGCAATATGTGGCTATTTAGCTCTGAACCGACATAAAGTACAGCTCACACAAACACGATTGCATGTAGTTTGTCTTACCCAGTTTGTTAAACACACACACACGGCGAGTAGATGTTATCTGAGCCCCTCACAATGTTCTGAAAGTAATTTGGAGGTTATCATAATTGCATAACCTAACCACAACCCTATGTCAGCAGTATCAACGTGGCAGTGTATATGAACAGCTCAGGATATCCTCTTCTCTCACGGTATTTAAAAGACTCCATTTGCAGCTCATTTAGACAGATAATGTGTGCAGAAAACTGTTGTAGTGTGACAAATGGTAAGCTTGATTTATCTCTACTCAGATGAATTGGCATCAACACAAATATACAGTGGCTTTTTCTCTCTCGCTCTGCTTGCTTTGTTGTGTATCAGCCGTGAGTGCATTGATTGATTTTAATAACTGGCTTAGTTTCTCACTGCGCTGTTTTCACAGGAATTAGCATACTTGGAATGATCAACCATCTCATTTTAGTATTAATTTCCCAGTGTACAATACCACAGCAATTGAAGTGTGGAGCATCTTTGGCCTGAAAGCCCTTTCCGCAGTTTCTATGTATTCAGGCTATCGCGCCCCACACAGGTAGGGCCTCTCGTTGAGTGCTCTCCTACTCGTACTGATTTCATGGCACGTTGATTTGCCTTCTCCACCAGCTTACAGCCCATCAGTTATGCACCACTGGATTTGGAGTCGACTGGTTGCCAGAGTGGGTTTTAGTGCTTATTTAATTTGCATTTTTACCGCACTCTCCCCAAACAGCCTCACCTGTTCAAGGTAGATTACGGAGAAGGCCGGCAGCAGGGTGGAACGTAGGACCCTGGGGTCTGCTGGTCGTGGAAAAGCAACACCGGCAGGGTTGGATGGTTGCACTTCTGCGGTGTGCTTAAACTCTGTGATTATGGCCTGATTTTGTTGACAATCCTCTCCGGAAAGCTGCAAATCTCAACAGGCAAACGGCAGCTATGAGAATTTGAAGACTTGAAGTAAAAAAAAAATTTTGAAAGAGGATCTCATGGGAGAACAATTGCTTTTCTGAAGACTACCACTGTGATCTCTTTTTGTTATCATAGCGAACCAGCAAAGGGAACTGCAACACTAAAGACATAAAAAAAACCTCCTTCAAATGTTTCAGAGCCCCAATGAACAGAGAATGGGAGATGAGCACACACTCTTTTTGTATAGTTCTGCCTGTTTGTCAGACTGATAACCTCCAGATGTCGGCTCCAGGGCCGGGGGCTGCAGGGCTAAAGAATGCCCCAGCAATGTGCCGCCTGCCTGGGAGCTGCCAGCTGGCCCCGCTGCCTCTGGGTCTCAGGAGCCGCCGGTGCATCGGGGACACACTAACCGACTCCTTGTCATGTTTTCACGCACATACACACACTGGGACACACGCAGACAAATACACCCGCACATATGTTGATGCATTATTTCGCCCACATGCCTGCATCAAGGTCAGCCGCTCACACGATTTCCCATATGTGCACACAGGCATGGTTGAACACTATGCACCAACTGGATTCATACACACACATTCAGACAGTAAATCTCCAAAGCGTAATAAGCATCTAGATTTACGGCAGCCCACGGAGAGGTTTTTCCACTTTTTCTTTCTTCCCTTTGTAATTCTGGTATTGTCACGATGCCAACAGCCTGTCATCTGGCATGCTGTTTGATAGTGACAGTCACATGCAGTCGATATCATCCACACGCAGGCTCACAATAAAGGACGTCTCCTTTTCACTGTCTCCCTGCCTCACCCTCTCTCTTATTCGTTTTCTTGTCTTGGCAACATTTTCAAAGGAATGTTGTGGCTCGACCAATAGGATGCTTCGACCTCGTTATCGTCGGGCCTGATGGGCTGCATACGTCAGAGCGCTGGTTGGTGTACGGAGCAAGTATTCATTAATTGTGTTTCTCCGCAGATAGAGAAATCTGATACGGACTCAGTCATTGGGCAGCACACTGGAGTGAGCTAGGAGTGCTATCAGATATGTGTCCGTATGCACTGACATGGCGACAGTCCTAATGATTCATCATCCTCTGCCATAGAGAGTGTTGTTTATCCTCTCTTGTTTTAAAACATGTTTGTTTTCCCTTGTTTGTTTCGATTGATCAAACACAGCTTTAGATTCACAGACTAATTCCCCCTGCCGCCCATGGAGGGCTCTGGCTGCACCCACGTGCCAGTTGGTACCTGTGAGTGTTTTGGATGAGTGGAGCCAGAACGAGAGTTATCTTATCTGGGAAACACATCTGGTCCCCTGGTTCCTCTCTCTGTCCTCTAACCATCCACCCGGTCGGCTGCCCGCTGCAAACACTCGACTGTTCAGAGGTCCAGACAGTCCAATCCTCTGAGCTGTGAGTGAAGAGTTAAAACAAAACAGATGGAAAGTAATCCCTGCATTTGCTCAGGCGCAGTTTCCACTCTGCCTCTCTCTCAGGCAAAGCAGGTGTAGCCTGTATTGATATGATGAACTGCCGGCCTTTGTTTTGGCATGGGGACGTTTCCAGAGTTGCTTGTGTTGCACACGTTCTCTGTGTTCCAGGTGGGATGAGCTGTGCTTCAGGTGACAGCAGCACATACTGTGTGTGTGTGTGTTTGTGTGTGTACAGGGGAGGCAGAGACAACAATAGGATTAGGTGGATTACAGCAATACAACCATTTTACACAGGAGGACACCATCGAGGATATGGGGGAAAAACACTCAGTCTTTTACACACCCTTCTAACCCTCCTTTCACCAGGAAAGATGAGTTAACACAATCTTCTCTCTGCAGCTGTAGCTGGAGGGAGTCATTGCAAAACACCCATACGTTCCCACAAAGGTTTCCCATAATACCGCAGTGCTGTATGATGCAGTTGGTACCTCAACTTTAGAAATAAGAAGTATCCACATCCAAACAAAAGTGCAGAGAAGTCTCTGCTGCTCGCCTTGTGATTACACTGGTATTTCATCAACACCTGTTCTATCTGATGCTAGGCCTTCCTTGGGAAAAGTGTAACATTGTTTTCTGTCTAAAGCAGGGCAGAGAGGGCAGGGATAGGCACACGCAGCAACCTTCAGGTCTGAAAAAGGGAGCCAATGTGAAACAACAGGTCACAACAAGTGTGTTTTTTTGTTCATGAGGGTTATATTTTGATCACCTAAGAGGAGAGGAACAGTCGGAGTAATTTCAAATGGCGGAAGGTAGACAGCGAAAACAGAGCATGACATTTTCTCTTACTGGACCTCTTTGAAATGCAATTGAATACCCCTGCATTATAGCAATAATAATAATAATAATAGCAATAATAATTGGGAGGGGAGGCGCGGCTGTTCTTATGTTCTCTGAGGGGAGGCTCACATTCCCACACTTTGAAAACCCCTGACCTAAAGAATTGAACCATGGTCACTGTTGGATCCAAAAAACAAGATTGTTAAAAACGCCAAGGTTTCAAACCTGTGTGTCAAGAAACGGTGGCTAAGCTACGTCTCCTTCCTATATTCAGTCTAAAAAAAAAGTCAGATTTGTTTCCAAAAATCTATGCGGGGATGCAGACAAAGCACGGCACCTCTGTGGACAGAACCCAGCCATGTAGCCTCGGGGAGGTCTTAAGAGTGTCCTGCCAAAAGCCTCATGAAATGTGATTCAGCCGTATTCAGAAAAATGTCCTTGTGTTTGTCACCCTGTCCAAAACGGGCTCATTGTCAGCGTGACATCCAGAATTACATTTTCAATTTTGGCAGAGGGAAAAAGAGGGAATTTATTTCAACACTTTATAGCTTCATCTTCCAACCTGTCGCAGCAACATGGCATTCGTAATATAATAACATGCGAGATGGAGCATCTTATTAAATGTTTATGTTTTTCTTTTCAGGTTGGCATTGAAGAAATGCTGTCAAGAGCCTGGGACTCCCAACCCCGAGTTATCAAGTTCACACGAAAACATCAGAGGAGCTCCTCCGTCAATGGGCTAAGGCGACAGAAGAGAGACTGGGTCATCCCGCCTATCAATGTGCCTGAAAACTCCCGAGGACCCTTCCCTCACATGCTTGTCAGAGTGAGTGACAGTTTGAATAATTCCATCAAACACCACACATGACAACACTTTTATAACTTTGCTAAGGGAAACGCTAAGATAGGTAGACAAGGGGAGAAGAGTGGGTATATAAGAGTCATATTTCTTATAATCACCATGAGGCCAAGAGACACAACGTTCTGCTATTTTCTATCAAGCACACCCAGCAGGCTAAAAGCGCTGCTCTTGTCTCCGATGTAAGTCCTGATGCCAGGTGATTTGTCTGCTCTGCCTCTGGGTGCCACAGACAGGGGAAAAATCATCCTCGCTTGGAAAGCACACAAATATGCACTTCATGCTTGGTTTCAGAAAAATAGATCTATGGATTACTCAGGAGTATTCTCTCTCAGTGTGGTGTTCCTGCACCTGTTAATAAAGCTGGCTTAAGTGTTTTTCACATCACAGTGCATCCATTTGGAGATCTGAATTGATGGGTGATCATGGCATCCATATTGTTTTGAGGCTGGGGAGACCAAACACTTTTACAGATCAATAAGTGTTGAAAAATGCTTTAGTGTTTTCGTTATCAAAGTAGTTAACTATATTTGTTTGATTTGCTATGAAAGATGCTAATGATTTTATACTAATATGTGCACATATCAATACATTAAGTATTAGAAGAAGTATTCATTGCTTAAAGATGGAGTAGGTACGTTTGAGAAACCGGCTCGAGATACACTTTGTGTTATATTCCATGGAATGCTCTTAACATCCCGATAGCAAGGAATATCTGAAGTGCTTTGACAAAAAATCCATAAAATAATGTCACCTGTGGAAGCTGTAGCGCTGTAAAAAGCACGACCAATCATCTGAGCCGGCCCGGCTAAAATAACTGGATGGCCTACCTGCCTGTCAGCCTTCCATCTGTGCACAAACTTATCTCGTGCCCTCATTGGTCATGTGCGCGTTCGTGTGTGTTGGAGGAGGGGCTCTGTAAGGAAGTGGCAGATTTTTTCCGGCTGTGTATTTTCAAATTCTAGCTCACTCGAGCTGGTTTCTCCAAAATGACCTACCCCACCTTTAACAGTATTCAAGGGGTTAAGTGTATGAACAGTGTCGACGGACAGTTTACATGGGATTATGATCCAATACATTCAATTAAAAACATCTAGTTAAATCTTTTTTTTTTTCTCATGCATTTCGTATGCATTTATTCTGTAGATAAAGAAGAGATAGGTTACACTTATACATCTTCAATCCTCTGAGAGAGGAGGTTTTTTTTAACAGGGTGTAATACTCATTTTAGTTCCTTTACAAAACAGATGATACCTAAGGGGGATACAATGAGAAAAACAAATACAATGTTTTACAATTTAACTTGTTCACGTTCAGTCAGTATATTCCCTGTCATTACATTACAAGTTACAGATGAAAAATACACAATATCTGTGTATTTATGAAGTCACCAACAACAATATGTTATTGTACTATATTATTATAATGATGAACAATAGAGACTGCTTGTTAGTATGACAGTAGATGGTGATGATGATGATGATTATTATTCGTTTCTCGCGGAGTACTGAGGCAATCAAATTCAGGTTTTACATAAACATGGCTTCTCCTGTTTTCTGAAAGTAGGATATGGTGTTTACATGTGCAGACACATCAATGGGACACTCTAAAGACATCAAAAACTATTTATACATGTCCATTTAAACGCAGTCTGAACGTTTAAAGCCACTCCATCTTGTAGTAATATCATCTTAAGATACAGACTTCTTATACTGTAATGAAAAGTAGAACAACTTGAATGTCCTACCTTAGCAATGAATGAAATGTTGGGCCTGATGCTTGGACTAAGAAAGGATGTAAGAAAGGTTCCTGGGCAGAATCTGTTACATCATATGCAGCTTCGTCACTGTGTAGATTCAAGATTAAAGACAGGAACATATGTTCACCTCCAGTTAGACACTCACTTGGCCTTCATTAGCTGCCTGAACATGAATACCTCTGGGTGTTTCTCAATGTCGAGTACGCTTGCTTGCCTGCTTGGTAGCACATGTCTTCCAAGTGTCTTGCTTCAGAAGCGAGGCAAGAATACTTAGCCTCGGAAAACGAAGAATGGAACAGGCGAGCAAGTGGGCAGGTGTGCGTCATATGAGAGGCCCCGCCTTACATTTTCCGCCACAGATTTGGGGAAATTGGTCCGTGCGCAAAGCATTGTGGGGATTTTAAGACCGCGGAGTCTACACATGTCTCCAAACGAAGTACGCCGGGCTCGGTAGAATTCCAAGTATGCTGGACATTGGAACAGTACTGTACCATTGGCGGCACTCGATGGCGTAGTATGCTTGAAATAGTGGCTCTGGAGCAGCTTTACTCGAGATTGAGAAACACCCCTTGTCTGCTCTGCCAGTCTCAATGGAAAGAGCAGCAAAGAGAAACTAAATGGCGCTACAGTGGAAAATCTGCACTATTTATAGTACAAATAGTCATTGTCATCAAACGTTGGGAAGGTAGTCAATAGGGATTTAGATTATAGCATTCCAACATCATTTCCCCCCTGAATTATGCAACGAATTATGAAAATACAGCACACAGGGAAAAATATCAAAGAATTGGATGCATATTCGACAGCCATAATTAAAATGTATAGACTGCAATAAATAATTAATTCTTACTGAAATTGACTTAAAAGGATGTAGAAGTATTCTGACAGTAACTACATATAAGTACATATGAATATTTTAAAAGGGATTTAATGTTGCCCTGCAGATTATTCACAATTCTCACAATAAAGAAAAAAGGTTTTACCCAACATGCATGTATGTAACAGCAAACATTAGAAGTAAGAAGAATCTAAAGCAAGTTTCCCATGAAGGCATCACACTGAGCTGTGTGCTGCTCCTCTAAACTCTCCTCACTCGATGCCTCTTATCAGACGCCCAGACAGACGTGCAGCTTTCTGCTGGCATTTCTCACACACATATAAACACTGACATACACACACAAAGTCCCTTACGCCCATTTGTACAGCGAGGCTTACACTCCCGGATTACGGAAATCGCCTTTCACCAATGTGTCGGCAAGAGGACAGATTTTCCACCAAAGAAGGAAACACTCAAGCTCGCACAAAACACACACACAGCGGACCGTGGAGTGTCAGGGGAGGCACCTAATTGTGCTGCCCTGCTGGAGAAATGGACCCTCTTTCATCCCCCCTTTCACATGTCGGGTGTTCGATGGTTGGATTAAACCTCAAGGGCTTCCTTTGTGTGTGTGTGTGTGTGTGTGTGTGTGTGTGTGTGTGTGTGTGTGTGTGTGTGTGTGTGTGTGTGTGTGTGTGTGTGTGTGTGTGTGTGTGTGTGTGTGTGTGTGTGTGTGTGTGTGTGTGTGTGTGTGTGTGTGTGTGTGTGTGTGTGTGTGTGTGTGTGTGTGTGTGTGTGTGTGTGTGTGTGTGTGTGTGTGTGTGTGTGTGTGCGCGCATCTTCCAGCGCTACTGTATGTGAGCACAATATAGGTGTGTCAGCCCTCAGTCGTAGCTGAAAGCAGTGCACCATGGGGATTGTGACTCATGCTGTCTCTCCGCAACACAACTCTCCATTCTGACAGGCAGCCGAGGAGACATCGGTGTGGATTTCGTGCTCTTTCTGGCTGCTCTCAGAAGAGGCCAAGAACAACCTTTTGCATTTCATTTTAGGACACAGCGTCTCTCCTGCGCTGCGGTATACTCTTTGAGTTATCTTCACCTGTGTTTCTACACTCCAGCCATCAAACAGTCGGGTTCTCCGGGTTTGAAAAAAGCCAATTAACCCTCGAAGTGTAATTAGCAAGCATCAAAAGGCTCAAATGGCGGGCCCAATGACGTGTGCGGAGGAGCGGTAGTGCTGTTTCTCTTTGATTCACTGCTAGTGGAGAAAGAGCAGCCATTATGTCACGGAGTTTAAAGGGGAGGCTAATGTGGCTCTGCTGCTGTAGGGTATTTCAATAATCCTGGGCAAATCCAATTCCACATACAAAAGAAAGTCTCTGCTGATTTAATTGTAAATATTAATTCATATGATCATAAAGCTTTCATTAATTCATTCGTTGTCATTATGTCATATTTATAGCACTATTGAGGTGCCATCGTATTATGGCGCTACCATCGTCATCACAGCTCTTATGGCTCACATGAAAATACTCTGGTTCAGACTCTGAAAGCTAATTTCACTTCCTCCAAACAAAGGAAAAAAAGAAGCTCTTTCTCAGTCAGACACACCAACAGTGCCAATCCCCTGCTGGCCATTTTCACCTTGACATGTGCAATTCAGTCATGACAAACCACAAGTGGCGCAGCTTTGATGCCATTGATTTACTATTGTGCTCAAATGCAATATGCATCGAAGCTTTCCCTGTCACGCTATTTGACATGACAGATGCAAGTGCGGCGGAAATGGAGAGCTAGACTTAAATGGATTCTGATGTAGTGGCATAAACTACTTATTTTTGAGAAACTCCACAGCGGGGAAAGGGGGGAAATGGAAAAGGGAGAAAGGGGACAGGCTGAGATGTAAAAAAAGAAAAGAGAAGACAGAAAGTCTTTGGGTAGTGCTGTAAATCTGCAGGGTGAGCGAGGCCAACATTAGTTTCAGGCCATTTGTGGCATTCTCATCTCGACCGTCTCCTGCAGCACCTACACTGGGCCAATGAGGCACAACTGATGGAAAGCAGTCTGAATATAGGAGAGAAAAGGCCCTTCTTTCATTTACCCAGGCCTCAAACACTGGCTCCCTCTCTGACTCACGGTTAGGACAAGGAAACGGACGATGCGAGCTGAAAATAATTGAGCCCGTTGTGGATAGATATTTTACTATTAAATGATTCCAAAGCTGAAAGACCAAAGACAAAAGTCTGTGTTTGCAGTTTCTTCTCGTCTCTGCAGGACTCCATGTCCTTTCCATGGAGCTCACTAGTATGTGTAATTTAGTCTTTATCATACATTCACATTCTTGTAGAAAAATAAAGGTCTCAAGGTGAACCGGCCGATTAAAGTCAGT